TGCTTTCCGTGTCGAAGTGAACCTTGTTGAATTTGATCACTGGGACCGTAACTGATGAGGCGGATGAATATTAGGTGTTACCCGCCTGAAAACACTGGACTTCTCGACCGGTTCTGAACTTATCGCAAGGGGGCGTTATCCGCATATTCTTCTTTTAACAATCAGTAGAAGTCTTATCCTAGGTAGAGCGGCAGGGCTGCTATAATTTATGCTTTTTACTAAAGAACAGGTGATGAAAGTTTCCTCGACCAGAGGTGCAACTTCCTATCACTGTTTACATTTCCTTGGGAAGCGAAGCAGTCGACCTTTCCAACTATATCCGTTACCGTTCAGATGATTTCACTCTTTTAGTAGCACTGTTAGCAAATTTGACAGAGGGTGGCGCAAAATCCAGCCTAATGCCATTTTCACAGTTGGCTTACTGTTTTTATACTCGGCTATCTACGAGTGTTATGAAGTTATTGAACATTCAGCCGCCATTTCAGTGATTTTCACACGATCTTCCCCAACTCTTCGCATTGAATACGGTAGTTGACCATGCGTGATTTAAGTACATGACGTGGTCACGTACCATCAAATTGCCATCACTTTTCAGCAATATTTTTGACAGCCTTTTGACTCTTAGGTGCATTTGTCTTTCTTTTTGTCGCTGTTTGTGTTTATTATCTTTGTGGTGTGATCTATGAAAAGATCACAGTATAGTATTTAGGATAGCGATCTACCGCACCTACCGGTGTCACACCTGCTGCACTGTTTTAAAGTTTGCTCCTTGTCTTCCTTCAGTTGGTCGTAGGCGTTAACTCAGGCCATCACCAGCTAGACTTTATAAAATATTACGGTAATTCTTCCAATTACTACATCTGCCGGCATTGTCTTTTCAGCACATCAACCAGCTGTTGAAGCTTCGACATACCATCGTATCGGCCATCCGTATTGCGTACACATGCACGCAGCAGCTGCTTCACAAACTGCAGCCATAAATTTTCTCCTAGCATTATGAGTTGTTTCATCGAACTACTGCTTATGAAAGAGTAGCGGAGCGTGAGTCACGTCAATCTGCCGTCTCTGGGTCATCCAGTTGATTGTGAAGCCACACACGGATGTTCTCAGGTGCATCTCACATATCGGTATGGTTTTTCTTAAAGACTCATGCATAAGAAATATTTATTGGCTTATCGATCAGGGGCACTGTGAACAAGGATACCATGGGATTGGTATTCTATATGGACTAAAGGGTTGGCCACTGGACGTCTCTCGTTGTTGATATAATCACTGAGAGCATTGTTAAGGTTCATTGACTGCATTTGGTCATCTGCTGAACTTCTACTGTCCACATGGTGTGGTCACGTTATTCAGATGTTTGTCAACCACCCACATCGATCCGCTCTGTCTACCACGACTAAATTTGGCTTAGCTCTGTCATAGAATGACTGGATGGTCACGCAGCGGTGAAGCTGATCGCTGCGTACTATCTCCTTGGATGATGGCCTAAAGATCTGTCACCACACGCCGTCCCTTAATGTTGGACACCAACTTTTCCGATTACTCACGGGTGGACCTTTTCACAAGACAACTGTGGTCGTTTTTCCTGTTTCGATTTCTATCGGTTCTTTGTCTTCCTGTCTATTTGTGTACTTTCAGTTTTCAGTTTATCGTTTTTGGTGCACCGAACTAAATTCAACGCAACTGGATGCCCTTACCTCATGCCTACTGCACGCTGCACTAACACTGTACCATTTATCCACTTCCTGTTAGCTACCTTTGTTAACCTTGGGTACGTGGACCAATTTTTAGCACTCAGTCACGGTACCCAGCCGTTTCAGAATATCTCCTGGATGTCGATCGCCTTCGTCGGATGCACACAAAGCAGTTTCTCTGTTTTCATCATTTAAATCTGGACCATAAAGTACTCGTGTTTTCGGGCAAACCCATTCCGATTAGACAGGCGATTAACTCGCACGGTTGTCCTCTTTGCCACCCCTTACTTAGTCTCACTGTCGTCATTTGCATAGCTTTGTCAATACGCCAATACACGGTACCGATGCTTCATTGCTATGTGACCACTACCAGTTGCATCCGAGCTGGAAACGCTACTCGGCTAGAGGCCTGATCAACGATAGTCTCCGCCCATAGAATTAGCCTTCATTGTTCCACTTGTCTACTGGTTGTAAACGCTTGTTTAAAAGCACAGCTTCATGTACCTGTTTAGATTACCACGTTGCTTTCTTCACTGGAATCTTACTTATCCTCACGCTGGTCTGGAACTAGAGCTACCGGATCCAAGCATTGAGGACACATCACGGCAACCACATTAACCGATCTTTTTCTACACCTGATCTCTGTCTTTAAAGTTGTTAGTTTATGTACACTGCGTCGTTCGATCCACTTTGCCGCATTTGAAGTTACTAACAACCGCTACTACTACACCGGATTTTGCTTCAACGATAGACTCACCTGCTTCAGGACCTATCGACCAATATTCTATTTGGTGCTGCCGAAGCGGGACAACGCGCCTGTCCCCGGTTACCTTCCTTTTCACCGACAGATGATGATTGGTCTGTCCACTCTGGATGATACTACACCCTCTCACGGGCGGCTGATAGTCGCCATTCTTTTACTTTGAGCTACCGGACGATATGTCATAGTCTCATCTTATAATCCTTTAAACTGTTCCCATGCCTCGTGCTTATGCGGCTCATTAGTGCTCGTGAGAGTCGAGTCTGTGATAAACAAACCTGGGAGGGATAGGTCGGTTTTCCCCTCAACGATGACCATGTTTTCCCAGACACTTACTGAACATCTTTGTATCGACAGATGGCATATCACGGTAACATTCCCTGATTTGATGCCTCCTTCTGAACTGGAACTGTTTGGTGGTTCTCTTCCTTTCAGTGCGTACCGGCCAGCCCTTCATACTGGATCCCCCTATACTACGTCTATCTGGGTCACGTATGAGATCTCATTGGAACCTAGCCCGACCTAGCCGCTTTAAACTTGGTCCATCATTGTTCTCCTGATCATATCTCTTCAGCTTTATGAGACTGAGACTGTATTTAAGAGCAAGTAGAAAGGTTTCTGTACAACTCTATCGAATTACGAAAAATCAAAATTTACTTGTGAATTATCAGCAGTGGTGTCTGGTCCGTTGATCGTTTATCCGTGTTCGGTTAGAAATTTGTACTAGCGTCATTATTTCCGGACATACAATGTCTTCTTTTGGCACTGTATGTGCATCGTTTCACAAAAGCACATGTTTCCAAAATAATCGTCGATACTGGTTTTAAAACACTTCACAGAATCGGCCTCTATTAATTCTTCTGGTAGTGTATTCCATAAGTTTACGATTCTGCGTTCGATACAAAGCTGATGTGATACTTTGTTCATGCTGGGGACCCTGAGTTTGTAACGATGTCCTCGGGTGTTGCACGGTTCTCGCAGGTGAAATATTGGCAGCAGTATGGGGAAGTGGCTCAAGTGTAGTACTCGATGGGTCATAATAAGGTCAATTCTTACTCGGCGATAGGATAGTGTGTAGAGTCCGAGCATTTCACAACGTTTTTCATACGGAAGCTTTCGTAGACTTGGTATCATTCTAGTTGCGATATGCTGTATTTTCTCCAGATTTTCAGTTTCCCATTGGGTTATCGGATGGTAAGCTGGGGCACCGTATTCAAGGATTGGTCTAATGAGCGAGGTGAATAGACGAGGGACGGTCTCTTCGGACCATGTGGAGAAACTGCGTCGTAATGCCCATAGCATACGAAGTCCCGCACGGTACAATTTCTCTGTATTTTCTAGTGATCTTAAATCATGTCGTGAGAGAACTCCTAAGTCTCTGACAGATGAAAGTTATCACAAACGGTTCACTGCCGCATTACGTAAGATCGTAGGCCCTGTGGAGTTACCGGCTGTTGAACTTGTATACGCGAACAGTATTGATTTAGTTGAGTCGGTCCAAATTTCTCGTACATACCTTGGTCGTATATATTTTCATCTCGCGTTCCTTTCCAATCCTGCATCTCTTCAAGTGACCTGTGTGTTGTTCACTCATTCACTTAGCAAAATAATATGAAGTGGCTCACTCGGAAACCTTGTACTGGTCTACTTCGCCTCGTCGAATATGAGTCTCTGGACATGCTACATCAGTTGTTAGCAACCTTGCTCATCATGGCCTAGTCCCGTATGGCTGTGATTCGCGTTCTCTTTATCCTCTTGTTTCGATCTTTTCCATCCATGTCTATTTGGATCTTTCCCATCAGTTTCCTACTTTTGTCGCTTTTTATTATATTTTACAGCACCACAGTTGGAACTGCCGCTCTTCTATCTTTGGAACATTACAAGCACATCTGACCGATTTGATTTACTGGTTAGACCTCCTAGCTCGTTGATCTGCATACCATAATTATTCACCGTCATGACACGATATCCTCTGTCTGCTTCAGTTTGTGTGGCTATAAACCCAACTTTTGTGTGTCCGAAATTCTTGACATAGCTTACTACACCTCGATGCAATTGGTACTCTCCTTCCTTGCAAAATGTACACTAACCTTAACCAAATTTTGAACGCTATCGCATCACTGGTCAGTATGCGCACTGATTGTCCATGTCCTCTCACCTATGCCGCCGAAATTCTTATATTTTTTGACATCATGAATCAAAGTCTGCTACTGCTTTCTGTGATTGCCCCAACTAGCTTATAACATCTTATGGTAGTTGGCAGTCTATCGAGAGAAGTTGTTCTTAAGAAGGCCAACCCTGATCTTCACACGACAGTAATGTGGACGACCTCACCGTCATCAATTGCCCAACGGTCATGGTTACATCTTCGGATTCCGCAGGATGTGTATAAAATCGGCACTGTTGGCGAGTACGAAGTGGATGGATTGGTCATCCATTTCCTCGCGAAGATTCGGTGGTGACGTAACCGGATTGCTTGAATCTGTTCAACCTCTCTCACATTACTTTAATGCTATATTTTTGTTTCGACCCCATTCTTCCAGGCTCAACTCTGCCATACTGAGTGCGTTGGAACCGTTCCGTCTTTATCGGCTCCCCTCAGTTCTCCGCCGTCCGGTCGACGACACGACTCGCACGACAATGCTGGTGTCACTCGTTCCGAATCAGCCCTCGGGTTTTATTGGAATGAGGTGAATGTGTGTCAACCATCCACTCCTTTCATCCATCCTAGTGATGATGCTGTGATTTCGGCATCGGGACGTCGCTCAAAGCTGGGACAACTATGCATTGTAAGTCAAACAGGCGTTCACTGTTAGCCGACGTCGACCATGTTTTTAGCAGTGAGAATCCGTCGCCTTATCATTGATATCTATCCCCACGTGATATGCCACATCTGGCTCCACTCATTACGAATCTTCACATATCGCCTATCTGTTCCATATTCATAGTGCTCAAAGGACGGTTCCTTCATTGAGTCGGCTACTGAGCGGTCACCGTTCTGTCTGCTGCTCATATTTCCTCACCTCGATGGTGTGTATGTTGTATTGTTGGCTGGCTCTGAATCACCCGTAGCCCCAATCCGCACTCCTCCCACTACTACTCCTTTGGATCTTACAGTGTGTGTTGGGCTACAAGTAGTACAACCATGGGTGGAATGCCACACATGGTTTGTCTGTAGGCTCAGGTGTCCTGCAGCTGTTCGTATACACGATAACATGTAACTCCGAAGGTTGTTTCCCCCAACCACTGCTAGTACCTATTTGTCCACTTCTCTCTCATTGGTCTCCAAGCTTTCCATGGTGGACTTATAGTCCCGCTACCTTGGAAGTAATTGATTTGCGACCCATTGACCGATTCGGGGCTCAGTTTGTGCCACCTTTAGTTATCTCAATTGGGTACTCAGTGTTCTTTGGGGGACTTTAACATTCACTCGGTCCACCTGAGCTTCTACTCACTCACTCCTGGAGTCACTTCCTCCGTTTTATATTGGATTGATACACTTTAATAATAATAATAATAACGATGATAATAATAATTTATAATATATATCTCCGCAACACGAGACACGGTTCAATGAATCTCGTCCGATTACTATGTACTGATTTCCTTCGGGACTGTTAGTGCACACAAGCTGCTCTTCAGTAGGGAGAAATTTCGGTTCCATACGCTCCTAGAAATCAGCCATAGATTTCCTCTGAAAATACACCTTTTATTGGGGCTTAATCATCTCATCAAAACCACAGAACGAATTGCAGTGCCGCAAGTTGCAAAACGCAGAAGCCAATCATAGGAATAAATTGTAGAGCAAGCAAGTCAAAAATAAGCTTTATCCACCCATATGGAGGTATTTTCAACACTACACACTAAAACTGTGGATTATAGTACAACAAAGTATCAATGAGCAAATAATGATTGGCAGCAATAAGACGAATAAGATGCATCTTCCATCAAGCATGCGGTCACGCAGACGGTGTTTCATTCCTGATTGGTCGACCAATATGCGTGACAAATAACACAGGATGTAGTTTCCACGAGGTACGGGAATGTAAAAATTTAAAATTTCGACCGTGTAGAAGTAAATACAGTGTTGACTTGGTTAGTAAGTTGAGAGTGGGAACGTTCGTTTAGAATTTTGGATGATGCATGCACCGAAATGTTTGATAACGATGAAGCGGGTGGAAGTCGGTTAAATTAAAGATACTGAGCCACCAAGACGCTAAAATCGTACAACACCATGGCTGAAGCACAACAAGAGGTCAGACACAGAATCATACCGGCTCTCATCATAAAGCTGAAACCAACATATTCAACGCCGCTGAACGGAAAGCTCTGGAGAACCTCAGGAAAGACAAGAGCATAGTTATACTGCCGGCCGACAAAGGACGCCTTACTGTTATAATGGACAAATCTGATTACGTGATGAAGGCACAACACCTACTCAGTGATACCAACACATACCTGCCGATAAACAAAATCCCGACAAAACGCTTAGAAGGCAACATCAGACGCACTCTGCAGAAACTGGAACAAATGGGGAAAATCACAAAATTGGAATACAAGATGATGCGACCACAAGACTTGCTACTCCCGCGGTTCTGTGACTTGCCTAGAGTACACAAAAGCGGAGTGCCGTTTCGCACCATCGTGTTGTTACCTGGAGCACCAAAGTACAGGCTTGCAAAGGCGCTCTGGAGACGGCTAAAACAGCTAATCGCGGGATCGGAACGCTCGATCAACTCAGCAGAACAGTTCCTTGAGAAATTTAAAACCGCAACCATTGAACGAGACGAAATAATGGTCTCTTTCGATGTTACCGCCTTGTTCATCTCAATCGACATTGGCTTGGCGAAACAAACAATTGCGCGCCTGTTACAGGAACACATGTCGTCTGACACAAGCAGTACACTCGACCCCAAACAGATGATGGACTTATTGGAATTCTGTTTAACAACACATTTCACTTTCAGTGGCCAAATTTGCGAACAGATAAGAGATACACCAATGGGATCGCCGATCTCTGGTCTGGTAGCCGAGGCAGTGATGCAGGCGCTGGAACAAATAGCACTTCCGATCGCGAGACCAAAACTTTGGCTACGATACGTTGACGATATCTTCATTATCCTCAAGCGTTCTATATTGGAGGAAACACATGAACTATTCAACAGTGTGTTCGATGGCATCCGATTTACCAGGGAGTAGGAGAACAACGAGCAGTTACCATTCTTAGACGTTCTCATACGACGGACTGGTGCTGAACGATTGGAAACAACAGTCTACCGAAATTCTACTCATACGGATCAGATCCTCAACTACGACAGCAATCATCCGGCAGCCCACAAACGCAGCCGCGTGCGAACCCTTTTCAAACGAGCACAAACCCATTGTAGCACACTACAGCTGAGACGGGCAGAAGAAGACCACCTCTTCAATCTGCTCAAGCGGAACTCGTACCCGAAAGGCTTCATTCTACTCTGCCTCGCCCCACAAAAGGTTGCTCGACAAACGCAACAGCCGAAAAGAGAACAACAATGCCCTATATCAACGGAATCTCTGAAATGGCAGCCAGGCTTTTATTGCTTTTTGCAGTCAAAGTTGCACACCAGCCAACGGAAACGATTCCCAATAAACTCTTCAAGGTGAAAGATAAACTGAACAAAGACGAAGAAACTGGTGTGATTTATAAGATCTGCTGTCGGAACTGCGACAAATACTACGTGGGACAGACTGGAAGAAAGCTTGGCACAAGGCTACACGAACACAGCCTAGCCATTTGTCGCCGCAATTAGAACTCCCTGATATCAGTGCATATGGATGCCGAGAACCATCAATTCGACCTAGAGCATACCAGTATCCTCGGAAGGGCTACAAACCGGAAAACACATGAGTTCATTGAAGCCTTGCGTTCAAAACAGAACTCGATCAATAAGCACTTGGACATTGAAGTTGCTTACGAGGCACTGCGAACCAGGCCCCTGAAGCCGCACTGATGATGTTGCCTAGTCAGGCAACGAAACGTCTGCACAACAATCACTCAACTCGGAGAACAGCTCAAAACCCGCATCCACACCCCGAGCTACGGATATTCTCAATTATTTTACACCAGGAGAATAATCCATCTGGTGCAGGAACTCGAATTCCTTTTGGATTTTACATGCACATTGCAGTTTCTCTAAGACAAGTGGGTTGTAAGGATACTGAATGTTGAATATTGGATTGAAACAACAAGAAAAAATGTCACTGTGTAGCAGCATCTAAAATCTATCAGGTGCACTAACCTGTTATGTTAGAGAGTGTTGCCGATATTCCATGTGGTCGAAGCGCTTGTCCAATAATTTCTTGAATTCCGATCATGAAGATTATGCGAAACACTAATCTGATAGGCCGACAGGACTTTGAACTTGGGTATGACAGGTACTTGGGCTTGGTGAAGGTCAGCGATGGGTTTAAGAGATGTTAAACCTGGTGTGATTATCAGTCTTATCGATGCGTCGATTGTTCCACTAGAGAACGATAGAACCAAGTAAAACTAGCAAAGCATTGAGGACCAAGATTGTTTGAAAATGTGGTTTGGATGTCCAACCCACCGATGTGCCACTTGGCTACTAGCCATCGGTGAACGCTCGGACCAGATACATCGGGAGTACAATAAAAGAAATAAATAACTCAAAGGGCAGCGGCTGTTTTTTACTAATATTACATCATCATAATCATCAACAACAGTACATCAACCATTTGAACTGATGTTCTGCTACCGTATATTCACACTGACTTACGGAACGGCGAGTAATAGGAGGGAGAGAAGTTGGACCAAGCGAAAAACCCAATTGCCTTAAGCAAACATTCAGTTTCCTCGCGCCAGCACCTTGTTAACAACATACCGTTTCAAACATTTGGCTATTATTAAAAGATAAGGCAGCGTCGGCGGGAGAGCTTCCTTGCGGTTTTCAACGCCCCGTATCATAATCAGCTATTATCCTGCCTGTAATCCAACACCAGACACACTTTAAACAGCCAATCCGACTACGCGATGGCAGCAGACGTGTCACTGATGCCTACTGCGAGCCATGCCCTATAACGTCTCAAACTAAAAACAAGGCGGTTCACATAGACTCCAGCGTGGAAGGCGAGACGGGCAAAAGCTACCCAGTTTAATTGTCATCGACTTCATTTACCGCTTCTAGGTCCACTTTTTCCCAAATCGAGCGTTGCGCCCCCTGCATCTGGCGCCCAAAACAAGACTACTCTCTGTAAGCTGTGGCCGAGCGTACGTATTACGTGCCAAAGCAAACACAACTTATTCAGTGCTATATGTTGTTCTGAGGAAGCAGCCTGATTATCACTGCGTACACACATCGTCGCTATGAATATGATGCTGCTATCCGGCACCAACAGGTCTCCGCAAGTAGCGATGGCCCTCAGATTGTCCGTCTAAAGTATGACCCTTGGCCGATAGTCGGAACAGAATGCGCAGGCGTAGTATGGAACCGTTTTAATGAAAGCTCTTTACGTTGCAGTGGCTAGAAATACCGAATGAAAATTTAATGAAATAAGGAAGGTAAAGCAAGGTCATTGTTCACCAATCATGTGGACCCCTGTGTTCACGAATCAATACTCAATTGCATACGTGACACCCCTCTCTTCCCTGGTAAAGACTGCAGACTCCTGATTGATACCGGTCACCTGCCTTAGGCGTGCGTTTTGAGCGTCTTACTTGAGGTTGTTCCGCATTTGTTTGTAGTTACTGGTTTTGTACGACGGATCCTCCGTCCGTTTTTGCGTCAATAGCATT